GCACCAATCACGGAGCACAAACCACGTAGCACATAGCCAATAGCACGTAGCAAGTTGTCATCGCACTAACTCTCAAGTAGCGAGAACCACGTAGCACCAAGCACGGATCACGTAGCACCAAAATGTGAAGCATGGAGAAGCGCCGGTTCACCTACCACAGAGAGAGAGGGAGAGGGGTAGACGGAGGGAGGGAGGGGGAGAGAGAGAGCACGTAGCACCAACTGGTCGAGAGAGAGAGAGAGAGAGAGAGAGAGAGAGAGAGAGAGAGAGAGAAAGAGAGGTGGAGGGGAGCGTTGGCGGGGGGTTGCGCTGGCGGGGCGCGGCTGTTGAAACTGCGCATGCTTGCTTTCGATGCGTGTGCGCGACTGTTGAATGGCGGAAGGGAGCGTTGGCAGGGGGTTGCGAGAATGGTGGAGGGGAGCGTTGGTTCTCTCTCTCTCTCTCTCTCTCTCTCTCTCTCTCTCTCTCTCTCTCTCTCTCTCTCTCTCTCGGCGCGTGCACGCCGCATCAGTACAACCAAGGTGAGCGCAGGCCCGCGTGCGCGCTCGCGCACACAAGAGAGAGAGAGAGAGGAGGCGTAAGGGAACGCTGGTGGAGGGGCACCGAGGGGAGTGCAGGCTCTCTCTCTCTCTCTCTCTCTCTCTCACACACACACACACACACACACACACACACAAGGGGAAAAAAAATAAAAAAAAATCACAAACACACAAACAAAGCCGCAAAAATGAACAAACGAAAGAATGAATTAACTCACCTTCAATCATGTTGGCGAGCTCAAATGCACATCCCAGACCTCCGCGTCCAACCTTCTCAATGCAGAGCCCTTCCCGATGCACACCCCAATCTCCACCTCGACAAAGAGTTTAGGAACAACCTCTTTCTGTGTGTGTGCGTGTGTGTGCGTGTGTGTGCGTGTGTGTGTGTGCAGAGAGAGAGAGAGAGAGAGAGAGAGAGAGAGAGGAAGGGTGCTACGTTTGTGTGTGTGTGTGTGTGCACGTGTGCGTGCGATGTGCGTGTGTGTGCGGGTGGGTGGGTGGGTGCGTGTGTGTGCGTGTGTGTGTGTGTGTGTGTGTGTGTGTGTGTGTGTGTAGGACGGGTAGAGTAGAGCTTTCTTAGGCCATACTCACACACGGATAGCAAAATTGCATAATCTGCAATTTTGCAACAGTGATTTTGAGGTTTAGTTGTGTTGCATACTCGGACACGGTTGCCCTTTTGAATAAGACATCGCCGCAACTTTCTGAAAATTGCTGCATCTGGTATCAGCGTGGTCACACAGCTGATAGCAGATGGCCGAATTTCTTTTTATTGGGTTTTACGTGTGTATTCTCGTTATTTTTTTCCCCCCTTCTTCCCAGTGACGTTTGGGCCTTCACCGCCATGAATTCAGAGGGTTCCCCAGAGGGCGCCCACGGTGGTACCACCCTGATGGGCCAAGCACTCGAATCCAAACGTCTTGGCGGACAAGTGCACGTTACCATGTGCAGAGAGGCAGAAAAATAGCTGGCAGCGTGATTTTTTGCACCTAACCGCAAACACGTCCTCATTCAAGCCCTGTTTCCTTCTCTTCTGAGCGGGGCCTACTTCCATAACGCTGGGCCTACTTCCATAATCGCAGTCCCACCGGGCAACGGGAATGGGCTTGGCACTTGCATCCGGATGTGTTTGCGGACTTGTGCGCGTCACCATGTGCAGATAGGCAGAGAAAAAGCAGGCAGCGCATCCGGATGTGTTTGCGGACTTGGGCTGCCCACGGACACGTCCTACTTCGAGTCCTGTTTCCTTCTCTTCTGAGCTGGGCCTACATCCATTACGGGTTGGAGGGTCCCACGGCAACACAGAGACACGCTCTGGACAGCACTCCATGCACATAAGCCGTAAGCGTGTGGGCATGGCATTCGGGTACTCTGAGGTGATCGTGCCAAGGTGCGATGCACCGACGAAACTGGACCACTTGCGTGACTGGGCGCAGTGGGAGCACGAAAACCAGGAAGTAGGGGGAGGCTCACATAGCTCCGCGGAAACAAAGCGGAGGGATGCGGAATGTGTGTCTATGCAGGGCCAGACTATTCGCATGGGGAATCAAAGGAGCAACTGCGGAGGAGAGTGGAAGTGCAGCGGAAGTGGGTGTGGAACTCACCTGGCAAGGGGAATGGACTCCGCCACTAAGGACAAACCCGTTTCACACCAGCAATCTGTTGCACATGATGCCAAAGATTGTACAGCCGCTGTATGACTGTCCGGCGGGAAACCGAACGCCGCATTTTTGGACTGTAGTACGCAAGAAATTGCATTATATTGCCCGCCGAGGGTTTCTTCTTTTTTTTTATATCAGAAAATCAAATGCGAATTTGTGAGGACCTCTAAAAGTCCTCGCAATTTGAAGCACCCGCGGCCTAGCAGGCCGCTGACAAATACTACACCCTTTGTGACTTTGTTGGGGCCAGGGGCGACGTGTGACTGGAAAAGAACAGCAGAATTTGTGATTTTGCGGATTAGACCGCTAGTGTGAGTGTGGCCTTAGAATAGCTTAGAGTAGCTTAGAGTAGCTTAGAGTAGCTTAGAGTAGCTTCGAGTAGGCACAGAGTAGCGTAGAGTAGCTCAGAGTCCAGTTCACAACATCATCGAGTAGCTTAGAGTGTTGAAAACAACGTTTAGTATAGAGTAGCGCCGGCGTCGACTCGTAAGTCAACGACTGTACGTAGCAAACCGCCGCCCAGTGGACCTGCCATCAAGCCGACCTGCCGGGCAGTCAGCTCGTGCCCAAAAAAATTGTTACTATTCGTTGTATGCGCGCGCACTGCCCAGGTACCACACGCAGTACCGGCGCTGGCCCGGTAACGCGCCACGCGCAACCCTGGTACCGCGTGCGGTAGGGCCGGTAACACAATACGGTACTGGCGCTGGCGCGTGGGCCCGATACAGCACATGGTACTGGCACTGGCCACGGGACTGTTACCGGCCCTGGCGCGGAGCTGCAACGAATACTTCTAAGAACAAACGGTCAGCAGACGATCGGGACCATGGCGGAGCAAAAAAACGGAGGGCCTCGATCATCTGCTTGTCACAGGAAAGAAATTAGCGATAGTTATATATATTGTCATTGTCACAACTTCGAAAATGGCTCCGAAATCAAAGTCTTATACAAGAAGTTTGTTTACAAGAGCTAGGAAACTATGGCGACAAAGAGCACCACAAGTAAGCACTCTCTCTCTCTCTCTCTCTCTCTCTCTCTCTCTCTCTCTCTCTCTCTCTCTCTCTCTCTCTCTCTCTCTCTCGCTCTCTCTCTCTCTCGGCTTCAAGATATTCCCTCACATCTACGCCCACCACCGCCCGGCCCCGTGGGCGCACTCACTCGTTTAATGGCTCGCTGTGAACATTTCGGTACGCGCGGCCCTCTGCACACTCCCCCGCCCTGGATCGTGTTCATCCGCCGGCCCTCCTCAAAACTTCGACCCTGGAAGGGGCTGTTTGAGGGTCAGAGAAGCGGAAGACGTACCTGGAAGACTGCAAAGACCAGCGAGGAGCGACTTGTTGAAGACCCGAGTGAAGTGCTTCTTGCCCTAAGCCCTGTTTGCAATTGTTGTGGTTTTTGTGAAACTCTCCACGTACTTTCTTGGTGACGGCTGCTGGTGGAAATAGATTTCGGTTGTTGTCAACAGTCAGTCGCACTTGACTTTGCAACTGGTCTTGTGGATGCATGCTGAGTCTGGGTCTATGGTAGGAACTCGCCAGTTGGAGGTATCCCTCGACAAAGTAAGAAGCACGGACAGAGAGGCGGGTGCTCAATAAACAACCCGCTTAGCCCTAAGACCGGTACTGACCGCCGTGCGACTGAAAGTCAACGGGACGCAGTGAGGAGTTCTTGAAGTGATGGAAGCTCGGCAGCTGGAGGCACTATCTGCAAGTAGGAGGCACGGGCATGAGCGGCGAGCGCTCGTAAAGAACCAGTCTAGCCCAATGCCGGTACTGACCGGTGCGCGTCCGAACCAGGCAGGGCAGTAAGGAGCTCCTAAGTTTTGAGAACAATCCTTCAAATTGGTGGCCACAACGTCCTAACTGCATCGTTAAATAATTCCCGAGGTCCTTGCTGACAGACCTTAAACCGCTGGTCATCCACCAGAGTTGTAGTGACGTGGGGAACGGAGATGAGGTTGGTCAGACTCCGAAATTAGGTTAGGTTAAGTTGTGAGGCTATAAGTTTCGAGGATTAGGTTTAAGTGGTGAGTAGGTGGAACAGATGTACCTATTCTACTGACATCTCACCATGGATGACTATCCCATGTTCTCCTTTCTTGCCCTCTTTGTGCTATGGGGACCTTTTATCCGTTTCTTCTTTCCCCTAGCGTTCTTTTGGATGACTAGCATGGCCGCAGTGACCCGATCCAGAACAGAGAACCAGCCGTTGACTGAGGAGGAAAGAAGGAAGGCGGAGGGAATTTTGAAACAGAGGGAGGAGGACAAGGAGAGGAAAAAGAAGGAAAAAAATGAAGAAAAGAGAAGGAGAAGAAAAAGAGACGGAGAAGAAAAGATTGGAGGAGAAGTTTACGGAGTAGAAAAGATAGAAGAAGGTGAAAAACAAGGAGGAGAAGTAAAAGAAGAAGAAAAGTTGGAGAAGAAGAGGGGGGTGAGTGTGGTACCGGAGGCAGATGTGCCTGGACCTAGTCGTTGTATCCCCCCTCCTAGTTGCATCCACGAAAAAGCTAGAGATTGGATGGAGACTTTCAGATTGCAGAAGGAGAGGACGTTGGAGGAGATGCAGGGAGAAATGAGTGAACGTGTGGCGTTGGATGGAGAAGAGGAGCAGGTGGCAGTAGTGGAATCTCGGATAGAGACCACGCAGCAGGCAATGGCCCAGAAGAGGAAGGACAGAGACCCTAATTTCCAAACAACTTGTCATGCCATTTATAACAAAATTCACTGGGGCGGTCATAGCCGCTAAGTTGAAAAAGCAAGCTGAGGGCGGGAAGAAACTGACATCAACGACCAAGGCCTACCTCCAAGCTGCAAACGAAATCGGTGCACTGTGCACCGCTGTAGAGAGGCTTGGAGATCGCCAAGAAGAGTTCAAACGCAAGTGGAACAACTTTGCCACTGCCACCCTGCACAAAACCCATGATAAAGTCTCTAGTGTTGCATACGGGATAGAAGCCAACATGCCGGACATGTATGTGATGAAGGGAGCAGGCGAAGGAGGAGGTGAGGACCCCCCTAATGCTGATGATGATGATGGTGATAAGAAAGGAGGAGATAGGAAGGGAAGGAAACCAGGGAAGGGAAGGAAAGAGGCAGATGGGGCGGAGATCAGGGACAAGATCAAGATTATACTTGGACGATATATTGATCTTTAGTAAGTCTCTTGAGGAACACCAAGAGCACCTTCGACTTATCCTGAATAGGCTTCGAGAAGCTGAGTTCAAGTTGAACCCCAACAAGTGTGAACGGGCAAAGCGTCGAGTTTTGTACTTAGGCCATGTTGCAAACGGAGATGCGGTGAGACTGAAGGATGCAAAAATTGTAGCAAGTTGAGATTGGCCGACCCCGCACACATTGACTGAACTGCGGTTATTCCTTGGTCTAGCCAATTGCTATTGGAAATTTGTGTGAAACTTCACTACGTTAGTTGCACCGTTGTGCAAACTGCTACGAAAGGAAGTTGTTTGGAAGTGGGACAAAGACTGCACACCCGCTTTCAAGAAGTTAAAAACAGTGTCTAATCGAGTACCCGGTTTTAAAAATAGAAGATCTGTCACTTTCGTTTATTGTAACTACGGACACGAGCCAATATGGCATTGGTGCAGTCCTACAGCAAAATGCTGGCAATGGATACAGGCCGGTCGAGTTCATGTCAAGCAGGCTGTCGTGTGAGAGGGTTGCTGCATCAACCTACGAACAAGAGCTATTCGCCTAGCCCGTTGGAGACACTACCTGCTAGGACGACACTTCAAGGTCTATTATGACCATGAGACCTTGCATTGGCTGAAAACTCAGGCCCGAATGTCCACCAAGTTAGTGAGGTGGGCCACTGAGATCAATGAGTTCAACTTCAAACTCACGCCTATCAAAGGCAAGTACAATGTTGTCGATGATGCGCTTAGTCGTGTGCAGACTTCTTTCGAGTGCCTATATAAACTCAAGTGCCGAACTGCAGACTCAAGTTTGAAATGCGTACGAGGAAGATGAAGTATATAGTAAGATTATTCGCAAGGTGCAGACTGCACCTCACGAAGAACCTAGTTATAGGATGATCGATGGGTTGCTGTTTAAAAAGACAGATAAGGACGACAAGTTATGTTCTGAACAACGAAGAGATTCGCAGTCTTATACTAGGGGAATGTCATGACTCAGACGGTCATTTCAGGTGGAGGAAGACCTATGCTAACCTCCTTAGGTCCTACACATGGGTTGAGATGAAACAAGATTATATCTTGTACATCCACAGCTGCAAAGTCTGTCAGTCGAACAAGGGTTCCATGCAGCCTCCCCTAGGTTTACCAAAACTGCTCCCCATACCATCGGGACCAGGAGACTCAGTTTCTATAGACTTCATGGACGCTAAGGTCAAGAGTCAAAGCGGTAAAGACTCAAGTGATGGTAATTCTTGATAGATTTAGCAAGTTTGTTGTTTTTATTTCGTTACCCGCTGAGGCAAAGACAGACTTAGCATTCGTAAATTTTTTTATCATTGGGTCGCAAAGTTCGGGTACCATTGACAATAGTTAGCGATAAAGACACCATGTTCACAGACGAGCACTGGCAACACTTGATGAAAGTCTAGAAGTCGAAACTCACTATGCCGTTCGGCAGATATCCCAAGACTAATGGACAGACGAAGCATATGAATAAACTGTTATAGCAAGTGCTTCGCATGTATAGTAGACCAGATCAGGTAGATTGGGACGAACTTCTACCTAAGGTAGCTAGTGCCTATAATAATTTTGTGTATCTAGGAACTAACAGGACACCTAATGAATTGCACAAAGCGTGGCGTCCATAGCGACAAATAGACTGCCTGAATCCTAATCAGATTCAAAGACGACCACCACCAGGCACTAGGGAATTTACATTCCACTACGAGGAGCTGCAAAAGGTTGTAAAGAACATCTGAAAGGCCCAGCAGTAGATGGTAGAGCAGATCAATAAGCATCGTAGACCGTCGAAGTTCGTTGCCCGCAACCTTGTCTAGGTCATTAAGTTCAAAAGAGTTCATTTCGGAAGAGAACATTTATCAGAAGTTGTCACCTGCTTACATAGGACCTCGGGAGATATTGGGTGTCATTGGAGATGCCGACAGTGCGGTCCATCCTACACTGTTAACATACCACTTCATCAACACACATTCGCAGTTTTCCATGCATCTAAGTTACTACCCTGTGTAGTTAATGATCGGTTCCCGTTACGAAGATCTATGATCCCACCTGACATGGATGGCCGATATGATGTCAAACAAATCCTTGATGAAGACGTTTACCGAACAGGTGGGCGACCCCAATGACAGTACAAAGTGAGGTTTGCCTACCAGGAGCTAGAAGATGATCGTTGGTGCCCCGAAGATGAATTAGCAGAGGCAGCGCCAGATGTGGTCTTCTACTATAAGCGTGATGGAAGAGGTATAAACATTATAGACAGGTAAAGATGGAATATTTCTCGGAGGACCGCGAAATTAGGCCGACAGGAGTGAAAAGCTTTCATGTTGTACCAGAGTTCCATGCCCCAGTCCCGAGTCCCGAGTCCCAATATTGAGTCCTAGGTCCCAGTCTCGAGTCCCAGGTTCCAATCTCGAATCCCATCCCATGTTCTATTATTAGTGGTTCCAGCCACTTGTACATTGTGGATGAATACTCCACAAGAGTAGTTTTCGCTTGTACCACGCTTGAAGAGGCCTAGGCGAGCTAGTTAAGTAGATAGTGATAGGAAGTCCATGGCAGATAACAGTTATGGGTTGAAGAGTCTGTCTTTAGGAGGCACCACAACTTCAGCCAGGATCACCACAGTCGTTAGGCCAGGCGTCAGTCGATCCACGCAAGCAGCCAACCCAAGAAAGTCTGTGAGCTTCCACAAACAGGGAACGAAGGCAAGAGGGCCAACCCATAACCAACAGAAGATGTCTCAAAGGCGGACCAGCAAGTATAAACGCCCAGCAGCATCAGCCAGCGGGATCAATTATTCACGTGCAAATTGTGGAAGCATTGTGGATTGCTTGTGCAGCAAAGCGGCGTGGATGGGAGGGGCGCTAGAGGAGGAGCAACTGCCCAGCACGGAAGGAGACGTCTAGTTACCAAAGCTAGGGAGGAGGAAGAAGACAGCCATAGCCGCAGAGGTTCGGAGTACATCGCAGCTGTATTCATGGTGGATCCACGAGGCAGAGGGAGAGCATGAGCGTGACAGGGAGGTTGAGCGATACAAGACATGAGAGAAAGAGGGAGAGTCACACGTGAGGGAGAGGGGAGAGCAGTTACATACCTGATTCATACTTGGTTGGTGTGCGGCAGGTGCCGCTGGAGTATACAAACAATTTCTTTGTATAATACAATAATTCGGTGTGGATTTCAGTGAGCGACTTCGGTTTCATCACTCGGTGTCCAGTGTGACTTTTCACATGACTGTTATATTGCGCATGGTGTGTGATTGCATGCTGATTGGGAGGTGAAGCATTGCATTATTATCTTCATGACTCTTGAACCTTCTTACGGGTTAGAGAATCTGGAGTACATGATCGGAATTAGTCGCACGGTGGTCAAGCCACTGACTGCTGTCATGCTAGTTTGTGACTATTTTATGTTTTTCAATGATTACTATGTTTGTGACTCTTTAACCTTCTTTCGGTTCTTTTTCTTCCCTTGTCATGTTTTTCACCCCCATCTTGTAGTACTGAAGAGTGGGGAATGCACCGAGGATGATGTGAAACTGTGGACCCCGACAGAAGAAGAGAAAAAGAAAGAAGCAGCAAAGTTCAAGGAGATCGGCAATGGGCAAAAAAAAGCAGACTGCGACATCTCACAGAAGACCAGACACGATTAAGCCGAAGAGCAAAAATCAAAGCGAATTTAGCGAAATGCACACCAAATAGGGACAAGCAATACACGGAAGCCTCTTGATAAAGAAAGCTGCTCCACTGCCTCCAATCATCAATACACTGACCATGTAGTCTCCCTATTGGTGGCCTGGCCACCATTCCTGCTTTCTACGCTCCTACTAGTCTAGCCTATCTACATGCCAGCAAACTGTCCACAATCGCCCAATGCCGCTTGAAGACTCTGGTCACATAGCCAGCCTTTGTCAACACCAGGTACGTGCCACGTTCCCTCTGCCTCCCTTCTGTCTTCCTCTCCCAAGGATCACCGCACCTCCACCATCCAGCTATGTCACGCATTGCCCGGCTATGGCAGGCGCCCATCCCCTTCCTCCCCTCTGCCACAGTCGCAGCTTCCACCATGGGTGCTGGCTGGCTGTGCTCTCCAGCAGTGTGCCTGCTCAGCCTAAATGCCAGAATGTGTCTGGCTCGGCAGCCAGTCTCTTTTGAGCTGGCTGGCGGAGGCTGGATGCAAGTGCAGACTCTGTGCCCAGGGCCCAGTACCCTGCGCCCGGGGCCTACCGGAAGAGTGTGCAGACCAAGCCTCTGTAACCAACTCGTGGGCTGGGCCTACGGGTTCTTTGCGAAGGCTGCGTGCTGCACAGTAGTAACCACCTGGGGCCCTTTTCTTAGGCCCGCCTTCACTGAGGGCCAGCTTGCATTTTCCTGGAGCACCTTAACTTGGGGCAGACAGGGCGCTTTTCAGCACAGCCAAGGTCCTTTCCTGCACAGATGAGGGCCTAATTCCTTGCATTCCCTCCCCCTCAGGCTCGAAGGCCCTCTGAGAACCTATCCTTTGACCCGTTGCTTGCCCTTTAAAGCCCACTTATGGTGTGAAACAATCCGCAGCGCAGTCTTCATCAATTCTTCCCTCATGAACCACCCATCCTCTGCAGGACCAGGTGATGTCTGAAGGTCACCCTGTACTACATCTGCAGTTTCAGTGATCCTCTTCCGGGTGGCTTTGGTAATGGCATAAACTCTGTCATTGATAATTCGATCGATGTCAGCACTGATCGCTGAGAGGGA